CAGAGGTTCTGTTAACGAATTTTACCAACGAGCGACGACACATTACACAAGGCACTACAGTTGCCTACTTCGACGAGATCACTGAAATCCGCGAGTGTTGTGTAGTACAACAGGACGAGCCGCAAGCCACGTCAGCCCCACCACCTATTGACGTAAGCTCGGATTTGTCACCAGCGCAGAGACAGCGTCTAGTAGATCTTCTTCACCAGTTCAAAGACTGTTTTTCATCGACCTCGAGGGTCAGTCAAACGCCACTGACGAAGCATCGGATAATAACGGAGGAGACGGCAAGGCCAATACGACAGAACCCATACCGCGTAGCACCGAAAGAGCGTAAAGCAATCCAGGAACAAGTGAAGAAAATGCTCGATGATGACGTCATCCAGCCGTCAAGAAGTCCTTGGGCATCGCCGGTAGTGCTGGTTAAAAAGAAAGACGGAAGCTTGCGATTTTGTGTCAACTACCGCAAGCTGAACCGTGTGACAAAGAAAGACGTGTACCCATTACCGCGCATCGATGATTCACTCGACAGGCTGAGGTATGCACGCTACTTTTCATCAATGGACCTCAAAAGTGGGTATTGGCAAATTGAGGTCGACGAGCGAGATAGAGAAAAAACGGCTTTTGTAACGCCTGACGGGCTTTATGAATTTAAAGTCTTGCCATTCGGATTGTGCTCAGCCCCCGCAACATTTCAGAGACTGATGGATACCGTTCTGTCAGGCCTTAAGTGGCAGACATGTCTGGTCTATCTGGACGACGTCATTGTTTTTTTCAAAAACATTTGAGGAACACCTGAGCAGGCTGCTATCGGTATTCAGGGCAATAAGGTCTGCCGGCCTGACACTGAAACCCGAGAAGTGTCATTTCGGTTTCAAGGAGCTTCAATTTTTAGGCCATATGGTGAGCCATGAAGGTGTTCGACCTGATCCCGATAAGATTGCGGCCGTCAGAAAATTTCCGGTACCAAAAGACAAGAAAGCAGTCAGGCGTTTCCTTGGCCTATGCGCATACTACCGAAGGTTTATTGCCAATTTCTCCCACATAGCCTCGCCGTTAACACGACTCACAAGAGAAGACGTTTCGTTCACATGGGGTGACGATCAACAGGTGGCATTTGACGATCTCCGACAACGCCTGCAGACTCCGCCTGTGCTTGCTCACTTTGATGAGGATGCTCCTACCATGGTCCATACAGATGCCAGCAACGTGGGTTTAGGCGCTGTACTCGTCCAGTGGCAAGACTCAGCCGAGCGTGTGATCGCATATGCTAGTAGGACGCTTTCCCGCGCCGAGTCCAACTACTCCACAACGGAAAAAGAGTGTCTTGCTGTCGTATGGGCGGTTATGAAATTTCGCCCGTACCTCTATGGTCGTTCCTTCCACGTAGTCAGTGACCATCATTCCCTCTGCTGGCTCACCAACTTGAAAGACCCGTCTGGTCGGCTCGCACGGTGGAGCTTACGCCTCCAAGAGTTTGATATGACGGTCGTGTATAAGTCCGGACGGCAGCACGCCGACGCCGATTGCTTATCAAGGTCACCGATAAAGCGCGACGATGACACAGAAGATGACAGCATGGCGTTTGTAGGAGTCGTTGACACCACTACGATTTCGTGCAAGCAGAAAGAAGACAGTGAGTTGCTTCCTCTTATTGAATTTTTGAATGGCCGGACAACAACCGTCCCTAGAAGATTTGCAAGGAGCCTGCCGTCATTCTGCTTACGTAGTGGTGTTCTCTATAAGAAGAACTTTTCTCCCAGAGGAAGCACCCACCTACTTGTCGTTCCGACGTCACTTCGTGAGGAGATACTTTGTGCTTGCCACGATGAGCCAACGTCTGGTCATCTCGGATACACACGCACATTGGCCAGAATCCAACAGAAATACTACTGGCCAAGACTTCCAGCTATTGTGAAGCATTACGTGCGCACGTGCCTCGATTGCCAACGACGAAAATCGCCACCGTTAAAACCAGCTGGGCTATTACAACCAATTCAAGTGCCCACGGTACCTTTTGCCCAAATTGGAATGGATCTCCTTGGACCATATCCGACTTCCCATGCTGGCAACAAGTGGGTAATAGTCGCCACTGATTATCTTACGCGCTACGCCGAAACAAAGGCTTTGTCAAGTGGCACCGCCGTTGAAACCGCACGATTCTTCGTAGAAAATATCGTCCTGAGGCACGGTGCTCCAACAATCATAATAACGGATCGAGGTGCCGCTTTCACGGCCGCGCTCCTGAAGACAGTGCTTGAGCTCAGTGGAACCGCCCATCGGAAAACCACTTCCTATCATCCACAAACCAACGGCTTAACAGAACGCCTCAACAAGACTATTGCCGACATGTTGAGTATGTACGTTGACGTGGATCACAAGAACTGGGACGACATTCTACCGTACATCACGTTCGCCTATAATACAGCGCAGCAAGAAACTACACGAAGAACGCCGTTCAGTCTCCTTCATGGCCGTGAAGTGACGACGATGCTTGACGCCATGTTACTGCACGACTGCAATGACATCGATTTGGACGCTGCATCTTTTATCCAACGAGCAGAAGAAGCGAGGCAGCTTGCGCGCGTCCGAATCACCCAGCAGCAAAATTATGACGCCCAACGTTATAATCTGCGACACCGACATGTCGTCTATCGGGCCGGAGACAAAGTCTGAGTATGGAGTCCTATCCGCCGCCGGGGACTGTCTGAAAAATTGCTGAAGAAGTATTTTGGCCCCTACACAGTTTTACAACGCCTGAGCGACGTTAATTACGTGGTCGTTCCTGACAACCCCTCGACAACTCGCCAGCAAAAACCAGAAATCGTGCACGTTGTGCGAATGAAGCCCTACTTTTCGGACTGATTTACATCATACATCTACTACACCGTCTTTTGTAGAAGAGCATCGGGACGCTGCTCTCTGGAGGGGGGCAAATGCCACATTGAATATGCAGCACGAAGAGAACAACGAAGAACACGCGCAACGAGTGAAGAAGACGAGGTTCTCTTCTGATCAGTTTACCAGTATTCTAATACAATTAAAGTGAGTTCCCTGGATTCGACTGCTGCTGTTTCTGCATTGTGACAATATTACGTTTTGTACAAACCTTGTGATCAGTCGTGTCACTTACAGCTTTCCGTACCTGCACATCCTGAAAAAAGATCACAACAAATTTGACCGTCTACTACGACTTTCATATCGGAAAGCCTTCAATCTATCCCCATGAGCCATGAATGATAGATTACTTGCGATGGGCATATATAAAACAGTGTCAGAGCTCTCTGAAGCTCATCCCACTGACTAAGTGATTCGGCTCGCACGTACTAAGGCAGGTCACGCCATGCTCGATGCTATCGGCACAAATTCACCAGTGCAGGTTGCTGGTAAACTATCACTACCACATTAGTGGCAAAAGGAAGTCCATATTCGGCCTTTTCCATGCAATATGCACCCCGTCCATCACAAAAACAGACGAGGTGCCAGAGCTAAATTGTATTACAAATATTCAGATTGTGAAGATGCCTTTTTTGTGGATGCCGCCGGACCCCTGCACATCCGCGCCACGGCAGCCGTGGTAAACAGGGGACAGGTCGTGGACTGCATCTCAGCTAGCAGAGTACACGGCACATCCATGAAAGAGACCGGTATAGCCTTAGCCATGCGTAACTAAAAAGCCACATTTGTCCTCACGGACTCCCAGGCGGCGTATTGCAATTTTGCCAGAGGTCAGGTAGGCCGGTTAGCACATTCACTTCTCTAACATGCTGTGGCCCGTCGTCAAGAGGGTAAATAGATACAACTGCCATGGGTACCAGGGCACACAGGAGTTAGAGGCAATGAACGCACTCATGCCCCCGCCCGCGATCTCTTACACCGGGCCTCCATTGCTTCATCCACAGCGCACCTTCTTGCTGACCAGGACGATCCCCAGCCCCTCCTTTCATATGGTGACATCCTGCAACACATCAGGTTGAGTAGACGCGCTCTACTTCCCCTACCCCTGATCCTAAATTAGATAAGGTATCGCAGGTCTCGTGGAGACGACTACAATCATCAGCATTTCCAAATCCTTGTGTATTGTGAAAGATAGACCCTTCGATGTACAATTCGCAGTGTAAATTTTGTCCCCTGATGGCCAATTTATCTCACGTGATCTGGGAGTGCCAACATAATTCCAGTATATTGGACAATCGTAATCCTACAATAGTCGAGTCGGAGGCGACCCTGTCCACCTCTGACACAGTGCAGCAACAAGCCCTGGTTGACCGAGCTCGGTTGGCGGCAAGAGCCAATGGTCTTGAGGTCCAACCACTATAGTGACTGTTTTATTACCAATAAAAGCTTTATTATCTCTCTCCCAAGTGAGAAGAAAAAGAAAATGGGTTTCGGCTTCCAGTTGTCTTCAGAAAATTCGTAACAGACCGTAAAACTTCTAATTTCATAGCACTTTGGCGGCCCAGCTTGTCGCACATTTACATTCTCATGTCACGAGGTCACACAGTCATCAATCAATACGGGCCCAAAACAAGGACAGCAGTGCTCAAAGCCAGTGCAATATAAACAACGTGTAATATCTTGTAAAGTAAAAAATGAAGACCAAATCGTTATACTTTACCTGAAATTGTCTTGCTAGTAAATTACCTGGAAACGTCTTGCACACACCAGCGCTGCGCGAGAGAGGGCACCACTACCTTCACAAGCGCGTGGTTTCCAAAGGGACCGCTGTATTACACGTGCTATGATGAACTTCATCAAGTTTAACACTATAGCAAAACTTCATTAGCCGCATGAATAAAACTGCAGCGAGGCAAACACAAGACGACAGCGCAGTATTTAGCGACAGATTTATCACCACACAAGGCCTTCACAAGAATGATAGCGCAGTTTTTTTTTTCACCAAGATTTCGCACAACCGCGACTGATGCGAATCTCTGGGAATTCCATACGTAGTAAAGCACTTTGAGTAGTGGTCACAAATATTTGTGTTCTTTTTTAAGGTTCTGATGACGACTGTAGATGACTCGGCCTTCACTGGCATCGATGCCGCCTTCTTGCTGTACGAGGCCCAAGATGCTCCCGTCGATCACGGAGTCCAGCTTTTTCGTCGCTATGGTGCCGCCCTCGAGCAGTATTCAAAGAAGGCCGTCAAGGTAGTTGTTTGTGGCTGCCAAGCCGCCATCAACGCGTATGCATGCATCCAGGCTGCGCCTTCAATAGACCACCGCAACATCACTGCTCTCACAAGGCTCGAACACAACCAGGTAAGCAGTCCAAATGTTTCTAAAGCATGGCTGATCCCTAGGTCATAGGTATCGCTTCAACACGAAAGTAAAACTTGCACTCACAGATGCAGTTGAATGCTTATTGTACGTCCATATACTATAGCTCGCATATTGGGGTTTGGCCCATATAGCACCACTTCATGTGCACACACAGACGTTGACGCCTGGTGGCACATCTCCGTCCCTGGGACTAACGCCTATGATCATTATTAAACCTTTGTGGTAACTAATAATTCACAGACTCCTGGAAACAGCATATGGTGAATCCGGCGCGAATATGGCGTCAACATGACCATACAAACAGTGATATAGTGTATCTTTTAAAGCATCGTCATTTGAAGAGAATAATAGCTAAGTAAGCGCTTCCGAGAAATGGTAATTTACACCTGTGCTCATGCGTAAGCTATGACAGAACGCTTTAGTAACGTAAGAGACAGAGTTTGTAGTTGGAGCTTCGAATGCACGAGGGCTTACTACTTCTCTGTGATGTGTCTATGCACCAATACATCTACGAAATTCGCACTCCAACGTCGTTGCCTTTGTGCGGCGCTTGTTGCAGCTGTTTTATTGTGATATCAAATATATGGACACTCTCCGCTGGATTTTGCCGCCAGCGTCGACGTCATGGTGACTCACCGTATATGTATACGGGTCTATCTATATGTAAATGCAAGAAAGAAAAATAACCAAGTAAAAGTTTCCGGCGTCCAGAATCAAACGTGGGACCTTTGAGTCGTGAGTGCGAGGCATTTACCACTGAGCCACCGAGGAGCAGCTCCTCCAAAGTTCAAATGGCAAGCTGTTTATGTCTACCACTTACCACTGTTTACGGGCATCTGGGGGGGGGGGAGTACAAACGTGTTTTCAGCATTATTAGCAAGATGGCACAAGGATCGCGCGGCGGCGCGCGCTCTAATCTCCCACAGATACTTTTGCCCGCGGAGAGGAGGGAAATGAACTCTCTCTTGTGCGCACTTATCTCGCGATATAGAGGATCGTGCGTCTTGGCTTGTGTAGGGCGTTCACTGGAACGATTCTGTTGTAGTTACCGGGCGCAGAAATGTCACTGCAATCGTTGCACAGTCTCCGAGAAGTTTGCGAGAAGAGCGTGCTTTTTAGACACAGTAAAGTAAGAACTAAGACGCTTATTCGCGTTCATCTCCACTTGCGAGTACTTTTCGTGCATCGTTTGAGCGTGAGAAACGTGGGGCACGTTTCGATCTGCTTGCCATTCTGCGCGCGACCATCCAATTTGTTACTATCGCATTCATTGCTTTGCCTTTGCGGCAGAGACAGACAGACAAATAACTCTATTAGATCCTGAGGAGCTTTCGCGTGATCCCTTATCGGGGACCCGCGAAAGACGTGACATTTTTATGAGTTGGTGCCTATGTACTCGAAGTTGTAGGTGGCGGAAAAGACGGTTGGTTTAGTTTAAATAAACCAACCGCACTGACATCAAATTTACTCATGTCAAGAAGCTTCACGCGCATAGGACAGATAAATTTTGGTTTCGCCTTGATAACTTGTAAAAAATCAGCACGAATACGATGCAGCACAAGAAGGACGCAGTACGAGCACTCGTACTGTAACCTTTTAATCTTGTGCTGCGTCCTATTTGCGCTGTTTTCGTACAGGATACTCCCAATTCCACTCGCCCACTTCTCTACCAAACGCGAGATATACACAACTTCACAGTAGAGAACAATGGTACGAGACTAGGCCATAGCAAACTAGCCATGTATCTTCCCTCCAACAGGCACTCGCCCAGATCGCTTCGAAGCTGGCAGTGGCGCCGAACAAGGTGCGCAACGTCGTCGTCTGGGGAGGTAAAGGCCGAGTGCCGGATGCCTACAACGCAGTTTTCCTCCACCGAGACAACCTGCTTCCGGTCACTGAGACCCTCAAGGACGACAACTACTTGAGCGGCGAGTTCATCGAGGTCGTCAACAAGCGCGCCCGCGATATGCTCAATGCACGCTCCAAGTACCCGTCCCTCTCCAAGGGAAAAGCAGCCTGCGATCACATGCGCGACTGGTGGCAGGTATGGACATTATTGACAGTACATCGCTGTGAGTCTATGTAGTCTTTATAAGGATTGTGTTGAAACGCGGCAACAAGCATGTGAAATGATTGCGACACTCATCTATTGTTTATTTACTTATTTATTATATTAGGTGCAGCGACTGTACACAAAGAAAGCTTCGGCATACGGAGCAGCGTTAAATATATAAAAAAACGCATCTCAATACCAAAAATAACAATATAATATTCTGGCCATAAACTGGCAAAAGAGTGTAACTCGCTCAGAACTCATGCGGATTCCTACTCCTTTTGTTTTCAAACCGCAATCTCCTTGACTCAGATTCACTGATGTTCGTCCCAATCAACCTGGCAAAAGCTCATATTCACCGAAATTTTCTTGAACCGTACCCCTCCACACTAGGACTCGCCAAATATCATTCAGCCGGACAAACCCATAGTATATCTCACGGGTGGATATGAAGCTGAATCTCGGTCAGTTGATTGCTTAGTGAGTTTTTCGATCTATGCAAGTATTGTTGATAAATACGTCAAAAATGGCGGTGCTGCGACGATTTTATTATGAAATATATGATAAAAATGCGTATTCCTTTTTTTCCCTCTGAGATATTACTACGCGGAAGAAACGCATCACCCTGGTATGTAGTAGAACTAACATTTGGATGATTTGGTGTGGATAAGTGTTTTAACAAGGGACGACAGAGAAGACGAAAAGACTTCTAACCGCATGAACATGGCGCTTGCGTTGGAGTGGTAAAACGTTTTGTCGACTTCGCTGTCGCGCCGTTCAAGGATGTCTTGGTTGTACAGTGGTGCGAAGGGGAGTCTAACCAGTTCTTGTGGCAAAATGCGATCATGCCCATGCACGACTTTATGTTCAGCGAACCGATGTTGCGTAACGCGTCTTGCCCTATTTCTCCGGTGCATACGGGCTGGAAATTCTTGCACAAATACGGGGGACGAGGTTTGGTTTCCTCTATCATATATATACAAGTTAGCTTCTAAAGTTTACAGTATAGAAGTGCTGTCAATGTCAAGAGTGTGAACCCGCCTTCGTGAATAAGACAAGCATGCGAAACGCCGCAGGGAACCGCTGAGGGCACGTGGGTCTCCATGGGCGTCGTCAGTGATGGTGCGTACGGCGTGCCCAAAGGCATCGTCTACAGCTTTCCGGTGCGCATCGACAACAAGGAGTGGCAGATCGTCGAGGGCATCGACGTGAACCCGCACATCAAGAAGCGCATCGACGAGTCCGCCCAGCGCACAATGAACGAGACGCACGAAGCGGTTCGATAGGCACCGCCGCCTATAGTTAACCGCGAAAGCTCGTCTGAGTGCACGTCCGGGACCCGCCATCGCAGAATCTTGAGACGGGAACTGCTTCCGCGTATTCTTTTGCGTATCCCGTGAGACTGCCCAGAGAGTCAATGCCCGATGCCTGACCAACTACCGACGTCCGCTACGGCATCAAGCAGGAGGCCTTCCCATATAGCTTCCGTCAGCAGGGCCAGGAAAGTAAATCATCCATAAGCTTTGTAAGATAGCTAGTTTCCAAATTACACAATAACTAATTCGCATTTACCTGAAACGGTTGTGTGTCTGTTGTCTGATTTATATTCAAAACACTGAAGTCCAGCTCCGACCACGATCGACGCCATAACGTTGAATGTTGTGCAGCGAAAAAAGCGCTGAATACGGCAAGGTTAAGTGCGAAGTAAAAGTAAAGATTATGCACTAGTTTCTTGACAATGTGCTTTTCTGAGGCTTTCGTTGCGCGTGTGCATTTTACTTCTTACGTTAAAAAAAACAAGCGAAAACTACGAATTTTGGTTGTTCAGGAAAAAGATGACCTTATGCGCATCAGCGCATAATGCAAATATTGTTGATTCTGCCGAAAGTTAACATGAAAAATGATTTATAACCACTGATAGTCAATGCCTACCAAGCACCCGGGACTGTTGTACGTTCTCAGTCTCTGCAAGAACGAGTGAGATGGCCCATCTGTGCACCGTTATAACGATTATTTTAAGACACACCTGCGGTCTAAAACTGAGGAGTGAATTCGGTCAAAAGGACTTTCCTTTTTTCATTGTCTTGAACCTTTTGACACAATTGAGGTCTCAAACGAACTCTGACACGTCTTACGTTTGCTTCGTAAATATTTTAGTAATTATCTTTGAATGAATTAAAACACAAGATATTTCCTACATCTGTAACCTTATGGAAGCGTGCAGTCTTCGTCTATATTGAAAATTGTCAATCTTCCACAAAGTCACGAAAGGCTTGTAACAGCATAACAGCACTATGCCTAATGTATTGAATGCTACCACGTTCTTGCTATGTCTTTGCTAGGTTATGCAGGTTCTAGATTGTTTCTACGTTGTCGCTAAGCTTTTATTTATTTTGTTGTGCTAAGCTTTTTCAGAAGGTAATTGAAATCCGCACCAACTCTAGGACATGCGATGCCAAACTTGCAAACATACGTGCTGACAGGGGTCGTATTATGAGAGTTTGTTCTTTTCACGTTAAGCAATACATTTAATCCTTTAATGTGGGCTTTAAGTTCGTAAGAGAAAATTCGGCGTATCTCACGCCTTCTGGGAATCGATTTTGTGCGAAGCAGTCGGCGAGAATCGCCTGTGCTGCGTTTCTTGGCTTTGAGCCATGCATTGCCAGGGAATAGACGTGTTTTTGTAAGCTTTGTAGTTTTAGGTGCCCATCAGTGCACTTACCGGGAACGCTTACTACACTGTAGTGCTTAAACGGTAACTTATGGACAGACGTTTTATCAACACTTACGGTAGAGCACTGACAGTAGCATTACTGAAACACCTTTACGGTCGGATGACGCTGACATCACAGGTGACTTTCATCAGTGTATTCTTGTGGGGTCGAGCAACACATTAATATGGCCTATATACAGTCTCGCTGGTCTTGGTCGCTCGAGCAGCCTGCAGATTGATCAAGCCCGCTGAATGGTCAGTTCGATTCGGTGTCGTAGGCTTTTTGCGAGACCGGCATGGGCATCGCAAGCCAAGGAAACACAGGAGTACTGACGTAGAGCAAGCGCCGACCCTGAAGAGTCTGGAACTTCTCGCTCGATGAAACGCACACGTCTATCCGAGGACTCATCAGGTCCTCCTTGGGAACCTGCGAATCGGGCCGTGTTGAATGCACCTTGATTCGAAAACATCGAGTATTTTTCACTACGTAATCTCTCATGACCTTACAGCAGCCTATTTAGAAGTTTTTCGGCTGTCGCCGTCGCCGCCGTGCATTGCATCCATCAAGCACAGTTGAAATGCCGAGAGAAAAAAAAAAGCAAGGGTCAACCCCAATTCAAATCCAGTCCTTCTGCGTGGCAAGCAGATCTCTTATCTCAGAGCAACATTATGCTTGACACTTTCACGTTACAAAAGCGGAAAAAAAAACAGGCGACCCTCAAACTTCGTCTTTAAGAGTTGAATGCGATAGTGAAATCCGACACCTAGTGTGCCATTTAACCTTAAGTGCACACTTATTAATATGCTTTGTTACACGCACACGCACACACACACGCGCGCACAGTAGATTGTACCCATGCGTGCGCGCAAATGGTACGCACAGGCTTTAGGGGCGAAGCGTGGCTTGGGCGGCCCTTGTAGTACGTAACTACCAGTGGCACATACCCGAAATAGGTATAACATTTGACCTCCAAGGTGGTGCTGGTGAGATATTTCTTCTGTGCGTTGTTTAACAATAAACAATAGTGCTCAATGTACATGCCAATGGCTGCTAATGGGGAATTAGAAACAGGAGCATTCGGCTTTTAGTCAACGCGCACGCTGCGATCCCCATTAGCAGCCATTGGCATGTACATTGAGCACTATCGGACAAGAAAGGGTTGCTACATTATACTCGCTGGGTGTAACCTCCTTAGTTTTAGAAAGGTTTAGCGAGCGTTGAGCCGCAGGGCCATGAATACAATGAACTAGTATATGCCATGAATGAATTCGAGGTGGTTAAAGGGGGGAAGCAGATACGAAGCGCAAGTCGTAAGAAATTAAAAGCTGAATCCTCCTGCCTCTTATTTCACATTAGCAGCCACTGGCATGTACATTGAGTACTATCTGACAGGAAAAGGTTGCTACGTTATACTCGCTGGGCGTAACCTCTTTGGTTTTAGAAAGGTTTAGCGAGCATTGGGCCGCAGTGCCTTGAATACAGTGAACTAGTACATACCATGAACTCAAGGTGGTTGAAGGTGGGAAGTAGACCCGAAGCGCAAGCCGTAAGAAAGTGTGCGTGTGCCACCTCTCGTTTAGTCCTCGGAATGTCCACTGAATGGCGGTGCTTCTATATGGGAATATATGATAAAAAGATGTGAGATGGTGGGACTTGGAGGGTTGAATAGATGGACGAACGGACACACAGACAGATGCATGGATGGACGCATGAACGGACGCAGGGGCGGATGCATGAACGAACGCAGGGATGGGCGCACGAACAGACGCATGGACGGTCACACAGACGGACGCATGGACGGACGAATGCTTCGCCCCACTCTCCATCATTCACTCCGTGGATATGCTGCCATTTTTTTTATCTAAAGCAAAAGTCGCATTTCCTCCAAGATACACGCCACGTGTTCGCCATCTGAGAGGCTATACAGAGTCTCACAATGCCTCACAAATGGCAGCACATTATCTAGCGTTTGCTGTTTGCTTGATCAATGCCTCTGGAAAGGCATCGTATGTTTTCCGTTAGAGGGAGATAGCTGTTCATTTTTTTAGCTGTTTGGAAGTTCCTGTTTGTTTTTAGCGGCGATGGCTGCACTATACGGGCCTTTTTTGACGTAGTTTGATGGCCTCCCAAATGCACCTACAAATCGCCGAATCGGCTCGCTTTCGTCGTGACACCTGCCGAACAAAATGCGTTAAGGAGACTCCTTCCACTACATGACAATTATGTGGCGTTGTTTTTCCGAAATAGCTGCAAGTAACATCGTGGCTTTGTGGTAAGACTCTTGCTTGCCACGCGAAAGGCCCGGATTCAATCCTCAATAGGCCCGAAAATTTAATTCTTCGTTTTCTTTGTTTCTTTCTCACTTTTTCACTCACGGACGATTTTTCGCTCACGACTAACGGTGCCGACGCCGACGGCGGAATTTCCGTGACACCAGCTCTCTAACATTATCGCGTTAAAAAGCTGTGCAAGTAATGCATGGCAAGGAAACTGTAGAACAGATATAATACTGCGTGGCAGAGCACCATCGCGTCACACGTGAAATGCGTAACCAGCGGTTGCTCACCATCATCCACTATGGCAACAACAAAGGTTGCCGCTAAGTGGGTGATCTATTTTTGCTTGTTTTAGGGACGAAGCTCCTTACGACGTGGGTCGTACGTCCTGTGTCGTAGTAGTAGCCAGTTGCATTGCATTGTGTGTCAATAAAAACGGTGTCATGGCATAAGCATGGAGTGAATAATGATGAGTGGGGAGAAGCGTGCGTCCGTAAGTTCATCCATCCACCCGTTCGTTCGTGCATCTGTCCATCCGTAGGTGCGTGCGTTCATTTCGCATGGTCTGGTCTCGTACTTCTAAAGGATGTTGAGCTGCCAGACGTCGGTAGACGAGGCACTGACATTTGCCATTTCCTCGTTGTTCTTATGCACACTCACTCGTATTACCAAGAGGACGAGCTGCGGAGACCTCCGCCCCACTCATCAAACTTCTCGTTGATATGCTGTGATTTTTTTAAAGACGATAACCTTTCTTGGGGACCTTCGACGCCAAAATTCTGGTCTGTTTCTCTGTCCGTCTGTCCGTCTCTTCATTTGTCTGTTTGTCCGCGACAACGATACCCCAAACGGCAGCAAACGATACCTCAAACGGCCAAACCCATCCGCAGCGCCCACCAATATTGCCCAAGTTTCAGCATTCATACGTGTGCGATTGTCAATTAAGAAGCAATTATTGCGCATATCTGAGGCACAATAAACACACATCGATGTTTTACATGTGTTTCTTTATACCAGGAAAGCAGACAAGTAATTCTAAGGACCATAGCGTTTAATTACCACGCTGCGCTGATAGTTCGACGCGATGCTCTAAAAGGTGAGTGTTTCGAACGCATTTCAAAGTCGACACAGTGGTGGCACCTGCCCGTCGCTTTGTGTTCTACACCTTATAACCTCCGAGACGGGCACGCATCTTTCTCCGCGGGCACTCATGCCTTCCTTCGTCTTCGAAGACAACTGTGAGATGGCGCTCGTGTCTAACGTGCCTCGATGCGCTCGTTCGCTTTCGCTGCACGGATCGAGACTCGCTAACGCAGTGTTTCCAGAATACCATTCACCGATTTTCTCGCGCAGAACATCAAGTAAACATTTCGTTCACTCTCTCCACATGCAAAACTATCGTCTTTCAAAGACATTTGCAGTGAAACATGCATATATGGGGCCAATTGTTTCTGAAAGATATGCATTGGGTGCTTCACTATTTCGTAAAATAGGATGGTTTATTGGGTGGTGGGTACATCGCAGCTGCACTTGCCGTATGCGCCTTCAAATACTTTACGTAGAGCTATATGAAGGTTGCTCGGCTAGTGTGCGCTATGACTACGCTACGCGTTCCGGGCATGCTTCGCATTTTCTTTATTATAAACCACACGTCAAGGTAAGGCCCCCAAATCCGAAAAACATGGTATCCAGTGCCGTCAGCACGAACTCACCACCGAGAGAGGCTGAGTTGAGACAAGGTGACCTGAACCCTTCGCGTAGCTAACGGAACATGATCGCGCAATATTTTAGTCCTGCAGATGTCCAGTGTTTTTCATGAAGCGGGACATCACTGCTTCACCTATGCGGCGGCACTTATTGAGTATTTCCCCTGGCCTGCTTTTCCCTGACACTGCGCAGCTGTGATATGAACAAGTAGCACCATCCGTTCTCAATGACGACCTGGCGCGACTTGTACGCCCTGAAGCAGATCGTTTATTCTGCATACAGCCAACATTTATGCTATGTTTATTACACATGCTCTACCTTTGCCGAATGCACTGAATTCTAGAAGAAGCGATAGAGAGTGCGCCACCGGGAATCTGGGTTCATCATACGTTCCAGCACTTGAAAGATTAAAACAAGCGTTCTTGTTATTTTTCGTACAGGTGCTGCTTTCAAATGAAAGACAACGCCCCTTAAACATGTTTCTTGCTATTCGTACTTAGGGAATTGTACCATCCTAAGGTAATTACTATTAATGAAGTAGTCTAGTGGCTAAGGTACTCGGCTGCTGACCCGCAGGTCGCGGGATCAAATCCTGGCTGTGGCGGCTGCATTTCCGATGGAGGCGGAAATGTTGTAGGCCCGTGTGCTCAGATTTGGGTGCATGTTAAAGAACCCCAGGTGGTCGAAATTTCCGGAGCCCTCCACTACGGCGTCTCTCACAATCATATGGTGGTTTTGGGACGTTAAACCCCACAAATCAATCAATTAATGAAGTAAACCAGTTTGCCGGCGTTTTCTATATATTCGCAACCAAAGAGCCTTAATTTCATTTTTTTTCTGTCAGAAGTCACTGTCTAGACTTCTTAAAAAAACGTGCGTTGACATCAGCGCGTGCCAATCGTGTTTTCAACGCATAAGCTTCATTTCGGTGTACTTACAAAATATCCGTTCCAGAACTGCTTCAGCTCACCGCGGCACCAAGCGAAGAGAGTGACCGGCAAAAGGACGCCCGGAACCAGATACAGAAGCGCTGGCTGACCACTGTCCATGATCTGTCCCATGTAGAATGTGAACACCAAGCATGCGCTGTAAGCTGCGAACGTTTGAACAAAACGAGATGGAAATGAAATTATTTGCGCATTTCATTGAACCACAGTCAAATACAGACAGTTCCGATAACTTTGCAGCTGTAAAATAGTCAGAGCGCTGTGGCCAGTATTCATAATTGCTAATCTGTACCTAAGGGGCCCTTAAACAACCCAGAATTTGAAATTTAGGTAAGGTGTTGCAGTTGTGCATGAGTCTGGAACAAATACACAGCCACAAACTTCCTTCAATATAGTGCCGTTGTAGCGGAGTTACCCGCGTTTGATGATCCAAAAGCAGTCATCGCTTCTTTCACTCTTTCTTTTACTCCGTTCGTCGGCTCCTCTCTGCTCCTCGCAGAGTGCTCCTCCTCTCACAACGAGCAGGAGCTGCTGGGACCGTGTGCATTCACGAGCAGACAAGTCCTTGAATTGACCCGGAAGAGCTCGTCCTGAACGGTAGTGTCGTCCTTGATCTCCTGGCACCGTGTGGCTTCCGCAGATAGGTGGCCCCACCCAAAATCTTTGCCGACCTTCTCCCCATCTTTTCTCTCTATTCCATCTGCTTTTTCTGTCACGCCTGCTTCGCCAAGTGCGCGCAGTCTTTCATCATTTAGGTCGTCGTTATCCCTCGCCCCCCCTCCCCCCCGCAGACAAGCTTAGCCGCGTCACCTCATAAGGTAGGCAGAAATTAGCACACTTTTTCATTTCCTTCAAGCCCCACTCATATAAGCCTCTGTTGTTGCTGGCATGAGATACACGTGATGACGACACAACAACGTTGGAGATACCTTAAGGCGCAGGTTTAGTGCCACCCCCGCTACTCGTAGCGCTGCCGCGTTTGACATTGTATTTCCACGACATTTTGTGCTAGAGTCAGTACATGTGCTTATTCTTAAAATGTTTAAATATAGGAAGTGGTTCAGTGCCCTTTAATGAGACAAATTTAACTTTTTTTTACTTTTTTGTTGAAGTTGGGCAACAATGTTTGTGAGACCCAGGGACTTACAGATTATGGCTAGGAGGAAGTACCAGGGCCTTTGCTTCACTATGTCGTCGTACGAGCGGCAGTAGGCGATTGTAAAACCTGGAAGGTGCGGTATAAAACGAAACATTGTGTGTACTGCGAAGAAAACTCACAAAGTATTATAGCCCACAACAATCACTAAGGGGCACGCTTAGGACTCCTAGTGCAATGAATATGGCAGAAAAGCAAGTCACCTGGAATAACGATGTCTCCGTATCCCAGCACAGTTGATTGGTCTCTACAGGCGGTCGCGTCACCAGTGAGGAATAGCGGCACACGCATGAGCACTGGTAGGTCTTGAACGCCTCTCGAGACGCTCTCCATCACGCTCACGTCTTTCTGTACAACAGGGTCAGTGAGAAAGGCTTCAATTTTCGCTCAAAACTGAATCCCAAAGTCACCTCGTCCAGGCACAATACATAGAAGCAAAAAATGCGGGGGTAATGGTTGAGCTTTTGAGTAGACATCTTGTTTGCGTAAGAAGGCTTCTGTTTTTCGTTTCAACATCCTCAGCGTCAAATTTATGCGTAATATGGAATACTTGAAACAAGTAAAAAAGTGTCTCTTAACATTAACAGATGAACCACAAACACCGTTTTTGTTCTTTATCTACTTTTGCGATTACTGCTTTCTTCTGTATTGAGTCTATTGTTCTTTTAACAAGGTATCTTATTGTTATTGCTTCCCTTACATAATGCCTGACGCCAGGCTTTCATGGTAGATGAATGTGGAAAAATATGTGTAGCTTTGAGGATTCGGCAAAGTACTAAGATCTTTATTGTCTCGAGTTACTTATACAATAGCAATGCTTTTAAAACAATTGTAATCATGGAGTATTTTGACCAGAAATCTTGTGTTGTTTACTTTCTTTGTACACATAATAATATTCACGCACCATCTGCCTTGAGGCGTACAATTCCTGCTGTTCTAATGCAGCGTTTGTAGAAGCCAGCTAGCGCGAATTGACATAATTAACGAACTTGTTTGCTTAATAAGTGCTAGCCTTCCCATCCATTTATCTGTTTTTATCTACATCGAAGAACGTCAGGGAGGCTACTGTTACCTACGTCGTGGCAGGCGAGCACACATTCGTCATGAAGCATGCACAAACGAATTTTATACAGACAAGAACGAAGGAAATTTCCTCAAAAAATGAACAAATAAACGCGCATATAAAACGTCCCAGTGCTGCTCATAGGTTTCTTCAATACTTATTCGACAAGGATGAATACTTTGATGCGGTGAGGTTACACTCCCAAATGAAAAACATTTGAATAAATGAGAAAATACCATATTTCTATGCTATGGAAAAATTACTATACAATCGAAACAAGACAGACACTAGGGGAGTACGGAAGCTTGAAGAGGACAAAAAAGAGGCATTTGAGCAGAAAATGTCACTGGAGGCTTTCGCGACCGTTCCGATTTAAGAAGATTAATTTAAGATTTATACTGATAGAAAAAATGACGTCTAGCTAAGCAAAAAAAATGAAATGTCAGACTTCACTTACCATTATCAAGGATGTGATGAACACCATAAATATGTCGTCGAAGAACATCAGGATAGATATAAACGTAATAACCTGTGAAAAAACAAAGAACATGAGCACATGTTCTTGTTCTGTGTTAAGGGAGCAGTAACATCAACAATACACATGATGCATTCTTCGCGTCAAAGCGTAGTCATCGAGCCCCTAATAATGACTTGGCATTAATAATGCAACAGAGGGACGAAATAATATATCTAACATTGAAAAATTGACAGATCGCACGTACAGTGGGAATTGATGATTTGCGAAGCACGTATGAGGAAGGTTGATATGTCAGTTCAAAATCACCAGAACGTTACAAAGTGGAGGTACATTATGTCGTACACGACTTCCGTGTCATGAGTATCATGTTTGGATGTGTTGTTTACCATCGTCATCTGTTCACGTCACGTGATGCCAAATTTAGTATATGTGAAGCTAGCGATACGACCGCTAGCACGCTATGAACGTGGCATGTCGTCATGTTCTTACATGAAACGCGTGTCATGATTATCACGTTTGCACCAGTGATATACCTTCGTCATCCATTGACGGCCCGTAACACTAAACTCGGTATATGTGGACCTAGCAAAACGACCGCGAGTGCATCATGAAGGGCCCAATATACTCCAACGTAACGTTGACGCATGCGCACGCTGCGCACAGCGACGCTCTACCTTAGCAAAACGTGAGAACGCCTGACGCCAGGCGTGACCGGCGCGACCAGTGTCCGTCGACGTGGTGCGACGGCAACCAGCGCGAAATGCTGCATTTCGCGCCTATGAGCTACCCAGACAGCACTGCGTCAGCCTCTTTTCGTGACGAAGGGACACCGGACGCACTGAAACAAGAATGCGTCAAAGCAACGCAGAGTGGCCCGCGCCCTCGAGTATATGGCAGGACCGGCGCCTGGTGTGGCAATACCGGCTAGACGCGACGAAATAAACGCCGGCGCGCACGCGCGTCGTGTCACATCGAAGTGTATTGTGCCTTTACTGTGGCATGTAGTCATGTTCTCACATGACACACATCTCATGGTTATCTCGTTTGCACCAGTGACACGTTCGTCACCCATCGGTGTCACGTAATAACTAATTTGGCATATGTGAAGCTAGCGAAACAGCTGCGAGCGCATCATCGCTGTGGCATGTAGTCATGTTGTTACATGACACGCATGGCATGGTTATCATGGTTGGATGTGTCATTTACCTTTCGCGTCTGTTCGCGTCACGTAATACCGATTTCAGTACATGTAAAACTAGCGAAATGGCCGCGAGCACATCATGAGCGTAGAATGTTGTCATGTTGTAACATGACACGCATCTCATGTTTATCATGTTTGCACCAGTCTCATACCTTTGTCATTCATTCACGTCCCGTAATATCAAATATGTATATGTGACGTTAGCGAAATCGCCGTGAGCGCATCAAGAGAGTGGCATGTAGTCAAGTTACCTGACACGCATATCGTGCTTTTCATGTTAGGGTCTGTCGTTTGTGTTCGCCATGCAATCATGTCATACCATACCAGTTTTGCAACATGTGTAGTGAACGAAATTACCGCGAGAGCAGCAAGACCATGAAATGTAACTCATGACATTCATGACACAAATTTGATTATTTTCATGTTACAACTTCTCAAATATGCTTGTCATACAGTCATGTTATGCCATACCAAGCTCGGTATTGATTCCATTATCCAAACAGCCAGGAGAGCTAAAAGTCGTAAACGGTTATCTATCTATCTATCTATCTATCTATCTATCTAGATAACAGAAACAGATAGATAAACAGAAAGGAAGAAGGTAGGGAGGTTAACCAGAAAGATTTCCGGTTCGCTACGCTACACAGAGGGTTAAAATCAAAGTGGCTTATTCACCTTACGGTGCTGCATAGTCACCTTATGGTGCTGACATCTCTCTGATGTCACAGATGCTTGTTCGTGATGACGGTAGCTTGAAATAATCACATTCACGCTCACGACTCTACGACAAATCCCCCGAACCAACACAACAAAAATGCTGGAATAACACGAACGCGCTGCACGAACAATTTCACAATAGCACGAACCAAGCAAAACAGAGCAGGCGGAGCCGTTGCCAGGCAGCCAGGCGTTGCCGCCAGGCGGTACCACATGTACACACCACAATGACAACACTACATGTATCGACATTATCGCTGCTCAGCCATTGTCAATCTGCGCCTGAGGCATGGTCTAGGAGCTCGCTAAACGCGTCAAAATAATGTCTATGCCTTATGGCCCGGAATGCACCATTGAGCCTTAGGACACTTAGCGCTCTTTACGTACTGCACAAACTATAATATAGACGGTTTTAAGGTCACAAGCGTTGTACCCCAAAAAATTTCCGGTAACTTCATTCACGAGCTCCTAACATCGAAACGGAGAGCACGTTTTCAGGTTCTTTAAATGTAAGAAATATCTCTCTTTAGTTTTTCAGATAAAAGGAACGTGCGTAAAGTCGATGCCTCATGGCCGGGAACGCGCCGTTGAGCCTTTGGACGCTATTTGCGCTCGAACGCTCGAAATAGAATAACTTCTACGCAACCAATGCCAGTCATACTTCGCTGAAAAAAACTGGTGCATACTAAGTAATCGAATGAAAGCCACACTTCAAGTTTCAAATTTGGTGTCACTGCTCCATAAACTTGCGTAGTCCCGATATATGCGCATGCTACCTTGATTTGCCAAAGTTCTGTCGTGTCAGTGAATAATACACTCAAGTAATTGCGGGAGCAAGGGATTAAAACTTTTTTTTTCTTGAAAGTTTTTTTAGTGGAACACATCGATGACTAAAAACAAACATTTAGCATGGGTTCTGAAATGATGATACCGCTGATTAAAACTGTCCGAATTGTTCACCACGCTCTTGCCACTTGCTACTTTATGCTTCGTCATATTACGCCACAGATCTATCTATACAATGTTAAAAATTGGTAATATCACGGCGCATTGTTATCGTAAAATTACCTGGTTCTCAGCACAAAATTTTAAACTGTAAAGTTATAGCAGATCTTGCAGGCAACACAGCCATGGAAGCTATAGGCTCGGAATACTGCTATTTTTCATTTACTTCTCTCGCTGAAATCAATCCCTAAATAATTGTATTATTCTCGAACATGAATTCTCTTAGCAGCAAGACACTTTCACAGAGCTACTTAAGATACCTAGCAGCGTTTCTAGCCAATAGTGTTGTGCATCATTCATCAAATACTTTAGTTTGTACGCGATTCGCTGCCTTCTTGCAGTCGAAACACTTGACGTGAGCTTTCAGATCAACAACCAGTCATACCAGAGTCGTACGAGGTGTTTTGAAGGCAAGGATTTATCGCGTAACGCACCCTAAAGTTTGGCAGATTCACGCTTCTCAGGATGTTGAGCGCGAAGCTGGACCCCAAGAAGTTCTGGAGAATCCAGGCGTGTTGCGCCGTGCGGAACATGACCCAGACAAAGGTGACGCCGATGGCACACCATATGACCACGTGGTGTCGGATCTCCATGCTTTGCACGAAGCACGGAAACAACACGTTTGGCATCCTGCGTAGGCAATGAAGCACGTGTGGTGCTTGGTAGCGCTAGAAATTTCAAATGGGAAAAAAAGTGGCCTTATGCTGACCTCTCAAAACCACCTTGTACAAGCATGGCCCTGTCACGCGCGGAATACTTAGAGGTTAACGCGAAAGGGTTGCTTGTTTTAAGTAACAGGTAAAATGTTCGAAACTGAACTCATTGGAGGAGATCCACATTGCTGAATTGGGCGCCTGGTGAACCTGCGTTCACACACGCGTTGGTGTGTTCATCAAACTTGTTTCTTGGCACTGCCGAAGTGGATCCCGGAGGCTACGTAAAAATATGCGCGTGTTTGAGATGAAATCCGCCAGGCGCCGCAACGTTGCTAAATTATCGAGGAAAAACCGTCTGCTGTTTCGATGAACTCATTGAATTATTTTCATTACCTATGCTGAGCGTTCAATGGCACTTATATAAGTATACATGCACCCCGACGTCATATGTATCCGAAACAACTCCTAACCTAACCACGAAGCATTATTTTGTAGCAGTTTTATTTTATAACACTTTTTCTGAATATTCCTAAACCGGAATTGCTGAAACGAAAGCGCACGACAAAAAAAAAACAAACAAAAACAAGTGTCACTGGCTGATTTTGCCACTGAATAAAGGAGTACTCGCATCATATATCGGTCCAGCTTCTGATTCACATCCGCAATTTCTATCATGTGTATCAAACCAGAAAGCTACAAATAATTTCATTACTGAAGCTCTTAAACATCACACATGACCTATAGTCCAGCGGCATCCCCACCAAGGCGAGCGTCCAGAAGAGCTGACCATCGACTACAATGACGCTTACTTCATACATCGTCTACGTGTACTTCGCAACTATGAACAACGGTATTCTGAAAGGCGATTGGCCTCTAGTATATATATTCAACGCGCTCGTAATTGTGTCAGTTCAGGCGTGTATATTTGTTATCAGACAGACGAGCAAGTGCTTAATCTGACGTGGAGACAGACAGCGCAGCAAAGGCCATTCGTTTGAATGGTATAAAAGTAAAATGCTTGATTTTTTTGTTTTATAGCACCCCGACAAAAAGAGTAAAACGGTGCTCTTTGAGAGTGGCTGCATATTTACCAGTTTGCAGCTGAACACGTCATATCATTTCTGAATTTCAAAACTTGGCTTTATTAGCTGCGATTATGTATCAAACTTCCTAATGCATGTTCCCCGTGAACAACACATCCTCATCACATCATTCTGTCGTACAATGTTAAACAATGCCAACCTGCGTATTGCTCTGTTTACACAATACGCCTTATCTTAACATCCGGTGAGACGTTTATTTAGATTTTAGCACTAGGTAAAGCAGAATCTCCTAAATAGTTTGCGTCATATATCGAAAGGATACCGCGAACCATGAATTACACGTCGTGAAGCCTCAATAATCATTCTCTTCAGCAGCACAAAACATGTTTCTACCCGACGTTTTTATTGCTCATTCAAGCTAGGCATCATCAAACGATTCTTACCGCATACCGGCGCAGGGTATCAAGAAAGAGAGAGAATCGAAGATGACGATTAGTGACATCATCGATCCCAAGGCGATGCAACCGATAAGGATAGGCCCTGCGTTGTAGAATGAAGTTAGTAATCATTTGGCGCGCATTAATAGTTTAAACAAATACATCGTTCAAGGCTGGAATGACAATGTACTTTTTAGGCAAACAATGTTAGCAGCGTTGCCAGTGGAATAAAAAAAACCTCACAGGGTAGCTGGGTAAACAACTTTAATGAATAATGGAAGAATTATTGCAGGGAGTAGTGGTGAAGTAAAAGCAGGATGACGACAGTTCCTCGGGTCATCTTTGTGCATTCACCTAAGGCGCCTCACTGCTGTACCAGCGAACCATGCACACTAACTACTGTACCGCTAAGGCTGACAAGAAATTTCACGTTCATTAATAAAAAAAAGAATTATGAGAAGAAGAAAAGTGCTTCCCCGTGTCATTCTATTTCACGACCTGGGACATCGTGACGTTATATGACGTACGATAACGGCATATTATGACGTCATCGTACGATATATTGCGCTACCCATGTTGGCGCCTGCACTGACGCTCATTTTTCGCGTTTGGTGGGGTATCTAAGTGTTCCGTCATCGAATACGAAACTATGGATCTACCCTTCACACAAGGGTTGACCGAGCAGCGTTTAAAAGCCTATTATGTGAGGCTCTACTGACACAGCTTATTGAAGAAGTAGTAGAGTACGAGCAGATTGACCGCCACCAACAGCAGGAACAGTGTGAGCAGGTTGCAGTCGACAGGACACTCGGCGAACGCTATCCCGCCGTCGAGCGCGTCATCAGGCGAAGGGAGAAAATCGTCGGCAGAATTCGAGGGTCGTGATCGAGAACCCCGATGATGATGATGGGACTCCAGGTCCACGTTTGATGCTAACTTGGCCGCAGCCGCAGAGCGCGAGGCCGTCAGGTTTATCACGAGTGACGTGGTCGATCCGGCTACCTCAAGCGGCACAGTGTCTTTGTCAGCGTGCTCCTTGCGACGCTGCTTCTCCTTCGGCTTGGTGCGTCGGTGCTGGGTCAGATAGCTGTGAACAAGGCAGGCATGGTCACCCTCAAAACCTACAGCAGCCACAGTGTGATGGTGCACTGCAAGCTCAACGTACGAGCGCGTCAGTTCAGTAAGGGCTTGTTGATGGGTGAGTTAGTAAAAATGTGACATCATGTTTTTAACGTTAGAAAAACGAACGCGAGACAGATCACACGTCTATAGTCGGTTCTGTCATCTCTCTTGCGTTTGCTTCTTTCAGCGTTTAGAGTAAGATCACGTCAGGCATTCATGAACTCCCCCAGCGGCAAGTTTTCACTTAAGTGAAACTTACGTTGGCTGACTTTCTAAATCATAGTACAGCCGTCTGTCATGTATTTGGTTTTTTTAGTGCTGAAATCAAGATGTCGTTCAGTGTCTGGGTGTTCTTCATATAGATGTTTATGATCGATTGTTAACGGAAATTTAAAAAATATATATATGCACGAATTTTCTTACTCAGGTTGATTGGAAAGTCGAACATTAGTAACGCTTCAAGTCTGAACCCATGATTGAATATTTATCTTAATATCACGAACCAACTATTTCGTTAGTTACGCCAGCTTACCCATTCTAAGTTATGAAATGAGGCCCAGCAATCTTGTAAGATATATACACTTGTAAAATATATTGAACTTAAGACCAAGCTTGAGACAAGCGATATCAAACTGGCAATGTTGTTTCTGTTAAACGTTTAACAAAACATATTTTTATGTATTCATGGAAGTGACGCCAATGCCTTTACCACAAACTTGGGGAACATACGTATTGACAGTGGTGTTATTCAGAGACTTTGCCACGTCGACGTTGTGGGATACATTTCATATTTACTCTTACATTGTGTGCCGCAAGTTAGTCAGCGAAAATGTTACTATAGGACTAATAAAATATATATTTTGATCTGTCGTGAAAATGAGGTAGCTTTTCGGAGTATAACCACGCACAATAGTTGAATTGACTCTACATTACGCAAGGAATATTTAAATACACCTTCATGATAACTACACACCGCCTACGCCGTCAGAAGTAATGAGTTATTTTAATTCCCGACGAATTCAATTCGGGCAGCACAATTACCGGTTCATTTCTAGACTGAAAACCAGCTTGCGCCTTTGAAGGATGTTTTGCGTGACAATAACACCCTAAGCAAACCAAATACACCTATGACACGGGTGTTTTAATTTTTTCAAAATAACCCTAAAGTAGAGTGTAAGTTAGACTCCCAAATCACCCTTCATGATGCAAACTGGATTACAGCCCACTTAACAATAACTCATCTTCGCGTACACGCATTCATCTCCGGCTTTATGCCCCACTTCATGTGGCTGCTGTTCGAAGGGTGTATAGAGGGGTGGCCGAAAGTTCCCACACCACCCTACCATAGGATCGCATGATATGGCAGAAGTGGGACTTTTGATAACCCATGTACCTACATGGCTAAGACCAGCGAGCAAGCATTTGGTGCTTTTGGATTTAGCGTTTTCAAACGTAGATTGCCGCCATAGTAAAAGATGGTCAGCAAGCGCTTCACTTGCGGAACCTTACAGCAACTTCCTGGTCCTCCCAGACCAGAGTGCACCCACGGTTACGGTGGAGCAAGCCATCAACCAGATGAGGGACGTGCCAACGACCGCGTTCACTTCCAGCATGTACAACTGAGCCGCGTCTCCACCCGAAAAAACCGTGTTGTTCCCGGAGACTGCTGGCACATCAGTGTTTTTGGGCTGCAAAAACAAAACTCCGCATTGACTCTCTCCACAAGAGCGGAAGAGAACTAGTTCGTGCGGTGCATTGTAGACATGACTGAATTATCTTGCCTTTACTAACACTAAGATAGTAATGTATTCTACCCTGCATGTAATGAAGAGCAATGTAAGCTAATGCGCATCCGGTAAAGTCCACGCCAATGAAAGTGTGAATGTCTATCAAGTCACTAAAAAAAAAAAGAACCTGAAGACTGTTTTGCATAACAGATGCGATTCTCCTATTTGGTGACAAAAGTTGTGGGGGTGGCGGTGTAATGAAACGAATGAACATAGCTCAGTCTCTTAGGCTTGTTGCGTTGAGCTGCCGTAGATTAACACTAGTCATCCATTCTGCATAACATGGGCAGACGTTCATGAATAGTAGTAATTGGCAGTGAATTAACTTCACCGCGATGACAAAAGGCGCATACCTTGAAGGATTCGACCGTGTCCAGACTTATGACGCCCAGTGTAATGTCTTGCGGCGGCACCGTGTAATTTTCTCCCGATGTGAAGTAGCCTGCATGGGGCTGCAGATTATAGAAAAAAAAAGTGGATAACTGTTCACTCAGTTTATAGTGTATTTGAAACAGCCAGGAGAATTACAAGCGAAGCCCTGGCTTCAC